ACAAACAAACAATGATAATAGTGATGGGATAAATGTATTCTTTTCAATACAAGAGCTTCAATGTGCAATAAGGTGAGGGCACAATACCACCCCTGGGAGAGATGGGCTAGGATATGAAGTGTTCAAAAGCATGGACGTTTTATTATTATAAGAGATGTTGTCTCTGATAAACACAGTGTGGGAACAAGGGTCAATCCCAGGAGAGTGGAAACATGCAGTGGTTGTGCCAATCTTGAAACCTGGCAAAGGAGGTGACAATCCTGACAATGATAAAGGCCAATTGCCCTCACAGCAGTAATCTGTAAAATAATGGAAAGAATGGTATCAGATCGGATTGTGTATAGATTAGAGCAGAGGGGATACTTTTCTGCCTATCAAAATGGATTTAGACCAGGTATGGCAACAATGGATTCAATCCTGGTTTTAGATAGAGACATTAAGAGATCCATTGAGATCCCGTTCTATACAGCTAAGAGTGGGGGACAGCCTGTCTGACACGGTAAATGTAAATAATGGAACCCAACAAGATAGTGTTATCAGCCCTATCCTGTTTAATATAATGAAGAATGGCATGTTTGATGAAGTGGGAGATGGATTTGGTAAATCCCTGTTTGCAGATCACAGAGCCATATGGAAGAGAGGCCGCAATGTTAAATATTTGATGATGAATATTTTGAACAGATGCAGGGTGCTATGGATAAGGTTCAGGCTCGGGCTGATAAGTGGGGTTTCAGGATATCTGTTTCAAAGACAAAATATATAACTTTTGACAGAAAAAGAATGTAGCTAGACAGAGCCTAAAAATGTTGGGAAAATTATTACAAAGTGTGAAAAAGTTATAAATATTATGAGGTGCTTGACTGGGTGTTTCTGGGGGGCAGATAGAAATTTAATGCTGATGATCTATAGGGCTATGATCAGAGCAAATCTGGGATTTGGAACTGCTCTTCCATCAATCTGCTCACTGAATGCTGGGAATTTATAGAAGGTAGTAGTCGAATTAATAGGGGTAATTATATCAGCTCTATAAGGAAATATATAAAGGATTTTGGATTAAATGGAATTAGAGTAGGGCCCTCTGTATTCTGGCCATATGTCCCTCCATGGCTGTGGGCAGAAGCTGAAGTGGATCTGCCAATTAAAAAATATTGCAGAAAGGTAAAATAGAAGATCTGGCAGCACATGCAGACAGACATCTGGAGTAACAGATGGAACAATTATATGAATAATTTCACTGATGGTTGAAGGGATCCAGAAAGCTAATTTAAGTAGATGATAGGATTTCAATATTCACTGCAGAGTTAATTGCTTTATGGTGGGGGCTGTGGTGGGTGGAAGATGGAGGATGGGATAAAGTTGTACTGTGCACAGATTCATTATCTGCCCTAGTGGCATTGGTCGGGGGAGAGGGAAACAGAGCTAGGCCAGATGTAGCTGGGGAGATCTTAATGACGGTCTCTAAATTGGAGAGGCAGGGAAGTAGCTTTGGTTTTTAATGGGTGCTAGCACATGTTGGGGTAGAGGACAATGAGGTGGCAGATAGGGCAGCAAATGCAAGTTTGGCAGAAATACAGTAGATGTACAAGTGCCACTTGGAAGGATGGAGTGTCGTAGCATCATCAGTGAAAAGCTGAATAAGACATGGCGTGGAGTGGGGTGGAGACATCAGAGGAAGAAACAACATCCAAGCGTCAGTTAAACATGTACCTTGAATTGATTAAATGAAAACTGACATGGTGAAGGCCTGGTTATACAAATTTACATCGCAAGATATAAACTGAGGACATAAACTGCAGTGATGGTTCCTTACCTGTGGGAGGCAGCAAAGCACTAAATAGTGCCTTTTCTGCCGGGAAGAAGAAGACGAAGAAGGAGGAGGAGGAGTAGAAGAAGAAGAAAAAGAAGAAGAGGGAGAAGAAGAAGACGAAGGAGGAGGAGTAGAAAAAGAAGAAGAAGACACGGTGCGTGTTTATGTTGTTGTTTGCGAAACGTCTGGGTCAGTTAGCATTTAGTCACAGCACTGTTACATAATTAGCGAACGGCGAGTTGAGGGGACTTAAGCTGACATGTGGACCTGTTCTTATAGGATTGAAGTATTCTGGGAATGCCATTATTTCATACTGAAAACAGTTACACAACGTCCCTACACTGAGTTGCTAATGTTAGCTGCCATTGCCGTTACAGGACACCGAGCTAAGTAAAGCTAGTCTCAATGCCTCGCAGCAGTAACGGTGAAACCTTAGAGTTAGTTCCCTCAGTTGACAGGAACTCAGTCAGTTGTTTTCTACTTTGGGCTCTGAGGTTAAGTAAGGGGCCCCTAATTATGGAACGCGCCTGTATTCTGACCTTTAGGGTACGTGTTTAGCGACTTTATCGGTCTCTAAAGAAGCGCTGCAGTATGAAAGTTATCTGAAAAGAGGCGAGGACATCTTAACCAGCTAACAATTTCAATTATTATGAATCTGTTATAGCGTGAGAATAAGAAAGCGACTAGTGACGGTTATCAAAAAACATAAAAAGGAAATAAGATTGGACTATATTCTAATGAATTTTTCTTAAACCAGTTTGTCAAATAAATAAAACACCCTCTAAACTTAAGAAGTTCATCAATTTAGAGAAATTTCAACTCAGAAGTACCACACCTGTAACCTATAACCAATATGATTTAAAGTCTGATATTATACTCTGATAGCTGATACTACTATTTTTTCCCCATATGCAGTTTATGAGCCTTACGTTTTTGCAATCTTAAACTACTTACTGTATATTTTTGGAGTAACACACTTCCACCAAATAAAAAAATACAGTTCATTAGTAAAAAGTGAACAGGCACAAGGATCTAAAACGACTTATGGTAGAAATGCTTTTAATCCCATATCAAAATTGGACAAATAGCATGAATTTGGTTCAGTATGAGATATTTAGTTTGCCTTTCACACATGCACAAGGCAGCGGGAGGTTCTCTGCATGGATGCGTTTACAACCGCATAACCTATTAACTGCGCTGCAGGGATCATGTGATTTACACAGACAACGGCATGAGCTCTTATTACCCCATCTCTCTTGACATCTTCGTCTGCGTCGTCTGTGTGTGTCACTGCTTTTGATATTGTAAACTCACAGTACAAACAAAATCATAAACAATCCCCAAGACAAACAGCATTATTATTGAGTCAAGTTTTTTTTTTTTT